CGGGACTTCGGCGATTCTGGATTAGGGTTTTTTCCGGATTATAGATCATCAGTTTAAATCTGGTAAGATGGCATGCAGAAATTATACTGTTGAAAATATGAAACCATAATTTACGAAATGAAAAGCAATTATGATCTAAAGGGTATCAAATTTTACAAAAAAAAAAGCTTAATATTTATTTGTTTACTTCATTAAACATTTCTTTCAATGCGTGCATGCGTAAAGCATATGCGCATAATGTATGTGCATTCTCTACACTCATGCATAAAGTTTGTGGCTTTGAGGTACGGATTATAGATCATTACAGGTAATGGACATCCGGATTATGGACTTTGCACTGTATAATATTCTTGTGTAACAGTTCAGTATAATCTATCTGAGCCTCGGATTGTGGTTGTTTCCATTTCTGTGCCTGGTCACTAGTATCAATATACAGTCATATTAATGAAGTGTTGTGATTTTCTATGCTACTATGCATTTAGAAGATTGTAAAGCACAAACTTGTGCAACACTTCGTAGAACACAACAAACCTTGTACAACACTTTGTTGAACACGTCTAGGACGGTGGGACAAAATGCTAAACCTGTAAGTGTGCCGTCAACTGAAAGAAGTTTGGGAACCCTTGCTTTACATAAATACAGTACAAAGTCTGTAATCCGGACGTCCATAATCTGGAATAATCTATAATCCAGACCTCAAAGCTACAAACTGTATGCCCGTTTAATGTGTAATGGACGGTATAAGCTAGGCTAAAATTATCTAAGACATTTCAGTTAATGTTGCAGATTGTGCTGTTCCTTAATCTTCTAATTGGATCCGGCTTATTGTTTTTTGCAGACTGTTAAAACAATTTTACAAAAATTAAGCTTGAACTTTTGATTATGTCAAAAATAGTTTCCAATTCTGGAGCTGCCAAAGGATCTACAAAGCGAAAGTATGTTTCGATGTCCATTAAACAAAAATTGGAATTGTTGCAAAAAATGGATAAAGGCCTATCCCTCTCAAAATTATGCGAGAAGTATTTCATTGGATAGTCCACTATATATGACATAAGAAAAGGGAACTTTTTGAAATTTTTTTTGGAAGCATCTTAAACAACTTACATTGAAAGAAATGTTTAATAAAGTAAACAAATAAATATTAAGCTTTTTGTAAATTTTGATACCCTTTGAATTATAATTGTTCTTTATTTCATAAATTACGATTTGATATTTTTAATTGTATAATTTCTGCATGCCATCTTACCAGATTTAAATTGATGATCTATAATCCAGAATCGCCGAAGTCGCTATGAATCCGGATTACGGACTTTGTACTGTAATAACAATCATCCACCATAACTTAACATTAGTTTTTCTTACCTATTTCACATTTTAATTACAAAACGCTTATTCAATTTCATTGCAGCTTTTAAATTTTTAAATTATTAATGTTTAATTCTAATGTTTATTCATTATTATAATGCTGAAAGTGTCACTTTTTATATGATTACTCAAAATGCACTTTTTAACATTTCGTATGCTAACATTTAAAATTATGTAATCTGCATTCTTTGTTCCCAGAATAATTATAAAATACTTAAAAATTAATTCAAAGATTTTAAAAAATAATTCAAAAATATAATGATTAATCACATTACAATTTAATAATCTTCCTTGAAAAAAATATTAAAATTCTTTCTTTATTTAATTCAAATATAGTTATTGAAATTTATATTTGTAGTACCATAAAATTATCATTTTCGTTTTGAGAAAAGCTCTATATATTTTAAATTCTGTGATAAAAATTATCAGTTTGCAATTCAATTGCAATAACTGCTCTCTTAAATGAAAAATTACCTCAACAATATGAAACACGTTTAACATGTACTATTGCCAAAGTAACAGCATTAAATGTACTCACACATTTGATGATTGCAAAATCGTTTAAAGAAAAGAAAACCTTGTTATATTTTACTTATTTTTAAAAGCAATAAATATGCTTTTTCTAAATCAAAGCTATAAAATTTAAATTTAAATTTAAGGAATCATGCTAAGTGTAAACTTACAGCACTTTTATCTGTTTTGTGTTACTGAAAAGAAGTGCAATTTATTCCATTGATGACTTCTCTGTTAGTTTATATCTAAAACTGAAGTAGACCAAAAAAACTGGCCTCTTCCTTGAAATCACTTTATTATAAATGTTGAGATTGAATTTTTAAGCACTAGTATACCACAGTAAAACAGTGACAGAATATAATTTTTTTTTTTTTTTTTCATTTCTGTTTACTACTGAGCATTGTATGTAATTGAAGGTTTGAATAGATGGTCAAAATATTAGGCATGCACAAAAATAAATGTTTAGCATGTCGAAAATCTAAACCAAATGTCTTGAGTGTAGAATTTATCAACTAATCACATTACTTTGAAGATCCATACATCCATTTGGTAGATATGTTTTGTATTGAAGAATGGGGCATAATTTCATCTTGATACATGGAAAATGTTTGCTGAGAGAAATGAACCTACACTTACGACTTCCTGTTCAATTCATTGTAATGAAACAATACTTGGCAGTATTGATGGCATAGAATGTTGATCTGTATTGAAGAGTAAATTTGGCAATCGAGGCAGATTAAATATTAATTTTTCATCAATTGACATTTGCGGCCACAATTCACTTGCCACTCTAATCGTGTACAATTCAAGAAAATTTACATTTTTGATACTGCTGCGATAGAAAGAGAGCAGCAAGGCAGTGCCTTAGCGAGAACAGGGGTAAAATCAAAATGTGCAGTTATCCAGTATGGCAGTTTATTGAGAGAAAGTTTCGTTTTAAGTTCTGAATTAGCTATATCATCAGCATTATACAATATAATGGACTACTATAGAAATGATGCACTCCAGAAAAAGGTATTACTATTTTTAGAGGTGAGAGGGGAATTAAAAATAAGGAATAAAGAGGCTATTGCTAATTTAAGTTATAATTTTAATTTATAATTATAAACTATAAATTAATTATATATTTTTTATCTTACACACACATACGTGTATGTATATTGCATGGAATAATTTATTTTATAATTTTAAATGGAAAAATCAAAAATAAGAGAAAATTCAGTCTAATTCCTGTGAAGCTTGATGGACATCTTAAAGTGATTTCATCTGTATTGATGTCAATTTCCGAAATTGTTCATATTCCTTTTCACTGCACAATAGGATTTTACATATTGCACATGACATCATTAAAGTAAAATTCTGGAGATTTTGCTGTCTTTGTTTAAAAAAAAAATTACAAAATTTAAGTGATTGTTATTTTTAGTTACAGTCAAATGTCCTTAATCCGAACTCATTGGGACTTCGGCGATTCCGGATTATAGATCATCAGTTTAAACCTGGTAAGATGGCATGCAGAAATTATAACATTAAAAATATGAAACCGTAATTTATGAAATTAAGAACAATTATGATCTAAAGAGTATCAAAATTTACAAAAAAAAGCTTCATATTTATTTGTTTACTTTATTAAACATTTCTTTCAATGTAAGTTGTTTAAGTTGCTTTGTTTCATGTGATAATACTTTTTCTTTAATTCTATTAAACAGACATAATTTCTTGTTTAGTTACAAAGTTCCGCTGTTCAAGTCCTATAATTGCTGTGTCGAGAATACCGACTAATTTGTCAATCGAAATTTTTTCGTTTTAATAACACTTTGTCACTTTCCTCACTATCGGAAGCGAATTATAATGAGGAGGAATTTCATTTAAATCATATCAAAGACGGAATACATCGAGATGAAATACTACATTTAGTAAGGAATTATAAGCGAAATAAAATGAAAACATCTGCCCTGAAGATAAGGATAGTGCTGACAGATCAACTTCCAATTCATTGCACGCCGCTGCGGCGTTGAAAACATCTGCCCTGAAGATAAGGATAGTGCTGACAGATCAACTTCCAACTCATTGTGTTTCGCGGCATCCCCCGCCACTGAGCAGCATAAAATTGATAAACAGATTTCAGAATAGTTACATCATTTTTTGCAGCAATTCCACTTTTGTTTAATGGACTTCGAAACATACTTTTGCTTTGTAGGTCCTTTACATATTAGTAAATATATATCGGAACTTCTATTTGACATAATCGAAAGTTCAAGCTTACTTTTATAAAGTTGCTCTAACAGTTTGCAAAAAATAATAAGCTGGATCCAATTCGAAGATTAAGGAACAATGCAATCTGCAACATTAACTGAATTAGATAATTTTAGCTTAGCTTATACCGTCCGTTATACATTAAACGCGCATGCGTAAACGTATTTTGTGCATGCACACACGCATATTCGCAGCCATAATAGTCTTACGCGCATGCATCTTTGAGGCCCGGATTATAGATCATTCCGTGTTATGGGTGTCCGAATTAACGACTTTTGACTGTATTATCTAGTTCCTTGACTTTTAACAATCTGGAATGCATCATTGTTTATTTCGTGAGGCTTCTTCAAGCTTCTTTCCTTTTCTTTGATTGATTAATATATTTTTTAGTTTCTTCTATTGTTCTGGACTTTTCTTAGTTTTTAAGACACACAGAGAAATATATAAGATTGTTGAATTTAATTAATTGGCTCTAAAGTGGAATTTAAAAATTTTTTATTTTAAAACTCATTACTTTCATTTATTGTGTTATTAAATGATGCTATTTTCTGTATAGCAAGTCTATCATCCAAAAAATGCTTTCTATCCAGTAGATATCCCTTGGAGATTTATTGCCTATTCATTTAAGTTTAAACAAATATAATGCTTTAAAACTTCCATGGAATGAAACCAAAAGTGCTTTGAAAAGAATTTTGTCTCCAATTGAATAATACCTTTCACTTGCATTCTTAATCATGATGCAAATAATTAATTGATTTTTTAGAATATGTTAGGTTATTTTTGTGTTTATTAAATGCTTAATTAAATTGGTAAGTATTTAAGTTATTAAAAGAATACTCTGGTCCTAATTTATTCCTTTACCTTTTTAGAAGTTAAGATGCTGAATTTGGTGCAGCTGCATGACTTGCTGTCTGATCTGGAGAATTTAATTCAAGATCATTCAGAAACTCTTATACGGGAATTGGCTTTGCGAGATGAATTGGAATTTGAAAAAGAATTAAAAAATACTTTTATTTCTTTGGTTTTAAGCATTCAAAATAAAAGACGACAACATAATATAGATAAGAAAATTAGTAGGAATGGGAGCATTAATGGAACAGAATTAAAAGTAAGACAAATATATCTGATTATTTTTTTTATTATAAAAATTCTCTGTCATATTGGAAATTTGAAAATTTTGTCTAAAGTGTAATATTACTTGTCCCTTCCTGCTTCAGTTGTATTTGTTTTATTTCCCTTTGTTCTTCAGTAGTTAGACTCTACATAAATGCATATAAAGCACAATTTCAAATTTGAATAAGAAATATTACTTTTAGTTAAGTTAAAGGAAAAACTTTTAAAAATTTGATCTCAAATGTTTAAAATGTTTAAAATGTCTCTTCACATTTAGAAAGTATGACAGTCTGAGAATGTGTTTAATGATGAAGCATTTTTATCTCACCTGTCTTAACTTATTTAAAATGTCAAATTCAATTCGTCTGTTGGTTTGTATAACTATGTATATGAAGAAGCCCAATTATATATTTATTAGTTTTTAAACAGTTAAAATTATATCAGCAAACAAGGAGGATAAAAACTCTGAAACAAATTCGTGTGCAATTTTTGCATTAGTAAAATAGCATGTTTCTGACTAAAGTCTTGCGAGATATTATAAATTTTGACTTTTTGACATTTTTCTGGGCTATCATTTTCTGTATTAATTCCAAATGTAATTAATTCTGAAAATTTTTACTGCTATGGAAATAAAATACTATGTAATTTTCAAGATTAATATCATAAATTCTGGATGAGTTGCTGATTTGTAAATAAATTTTTCTGTCATGTTATAGTGAAATTTCTGTTCTATTATGAGTAGATTTTAAAGTGATGCAGCATTCCTAAAAAAATAAGCCACGGAGCAACAACACTTTCATTTTCCTCATTATTCATGGTTGCCACGCTACCTGGAAAACCGGGAGAACCGGGAAAAGTCAGGGAATTCGAAAATTGACCAAAATATTCAGGGAAAAGTCAGGGAATTTAAGTATTTTTGTCAAAATCTGGAAAAGTCAGGGAAGTTCATACAACGATCCCGCCAAAAAAAGCGATTTTTGCGCCGACGTCGGAAGAGGTAACTTTTTTGGCGAATTATGTGTATCACGTGAGCCTCATTCGGGTAGCTGGCATAGAGCCAATTTTCGCAGTTCCAATTTGATTGTCTTTTAGAAAGGCAAAGCAACTTTCTTTCCCACAACTTTTGGTTTCCAGCAACCTATTTTCGAGAGAAACGCATGTGCAATGCATGAACTAAAGAAAGTTTACCTGTTCTCGTATAAAACAAAATTGGGTTAAATCTACGGTACCATGCGGTACCATAAATACGGTACCATGGAGGTTAGAATCAAAGAATATGTATTGTAAAGAAGGAAAACCTCTCTGCAACAGACGTGGCTGTGGCTCCGTTCCATCATAGAGGGAAAACAGCTGTGTATGTCTGATATATCTGTCGCCAAAGCTCGAAACCGGTGTCGAAGTTCGTAGGTCACGTTATCAAGGGGTTCATAAAATGAATATCGTTTAAAATTTCTTTAACCACTTGCGCTAAAAAGACGTGCCACGCACGTCAAGATGCTTTTGTCTCAAACCGCGAGCGACGTGAACACCACGTTGATAACCATTTATCGTAACCATTTATCGCAAAAATGAAAATAACGTGGTGCACACGTCGCCTAACAACGAGATTGTTTATTTCTCGAGTTACAGCTCTGGATTGCACTCGCAGATGCGGAGCGGCGTAAATGAGACACTTTATGGCTTGTTATATTGTAGCACACGGCACCGCAACCGTGAAGTTTAGTCTTAGCACAAGTGGTTAAATTCTAAAGGAAAAGAAAATATTTTTTGGCGCAAGTAAATTAATTCATGGATTAGTTATTTTCAGGGGGAAAAAAAAACTACGAAAATCCGTTTTTAAAATTATTGCGAAAAATCCAAGAAGAAACGTCCTTTTATAAAATGTTTCTTCTCGGATTTTTCGCAATAATTTAAAAACGGATTTTCGTAATTTTCTTTTTGTCAAAGAGCGTTTCTTCTTAACACGTGTTTCTCAATTTCCTGTACACATCGCGGAGAGGGAAATTCTGGCCGCCAGGTTCCGTCGCCAAATCCTTTGGCAAATTTTCCCTCCGCATTCTAGCGGCATAATAGCATTTTACTTGTATGGAACCTTTTCTTCTTTACATAGACGTTCTTTGGTTAGAATAATAATGGGATTTGGCGACATCTTGATGCGCAGTAAATGGGTCATTTTGGTCTTGGCGACAATTTTCAAAATCGTGCCAAAGCCTTACCGTATACTAGAATTTTACCGCAAAAATCTTTTTAAATCTTTTTTTTTTTTCTTTTTAATAAATACCTTGCCATTTTGCAGTAAAATAAAAAAATAGGGTACTATTCCGTTTTGAGGGCTGTAAAAAAGTTGCAGCGAAAATGTACGCGCCAAAGCGCCAAATCTAGCAAACGCGCCCATTTAAACAGCGCGCCAAATCTAGCGTACGCGTTGATTTCAGATTGCGTAAGTTTATATAGTTCTATATTTCATAAGACGCCATTGAAATACTAGTTAATTTTTAAATCCTTTTTTATTATCCTATGAATTTAACAATTTGGGAATTGCCCATGACGAAAAGTCTGCAATAGAATTTTGGGAAAAGTGTAGAATCACCCACTGCTTGATGCGTTTTTAAGAATTGCACATACTCGGTACTCCATGTGCACATCGACCTATTTTCACTTTAAAAAAAATCCTAGAATTGCACAAAAATGGCACTGCTCACACCCTTGACTTTATTTATATACACATCGACCTATTTTCACTTAAAAAGTAAAAGAAATTTGACAAAAATCCAATTGTTTTTACCCTTGTAAAAAACGGCAAACAAATTAAGTGAGGCGATTCTGCACTTTACCAGAATATTTTTTTCAAAGAAAAGGCATCATTCGTTATAGAAAATTACGTTTGAACAACCAACGAGATGAAATTATGCTTTAGCGATTAATGCTTAAATTATGCTTTCGGTAGCGAAATAGCGATGTAAGCATCCATTCAGTTATGTTTAACAATTTTTATATAAATAATAATAATGATCTGAAATAGTTATTTACTCTTATGCTTCCATTCAGTCATGTTTAGCCTTTTTCATATACATTATAATAATAAAAATATATTATATGAAATTATCCTTTCATCTAAATTAAAACATCAATCTTAGATAGTTTTTTACTATTATACTTCCTATCTTGCCGCAATTATTAGGGTTGCCACAATTATTTTTGGCAGCATTGGCATCAACAATAGTTTGGCGATTTTTTACGGCCCTCGAAACCGAATAGTACCAAAAATAGTATCAGTCATCTAGGCTAGCCACGTAATATAACTATATTCGCTAAAATATCGTTAATTATTCTAATTCAATTTTTAAGTAATTATTTTTATGTTATTCATATAATTTAATGTTGCTTCTTCCCTCTAAATTTATTTATTATTAGTAAATAATATTTCCAAATTTCAGGAAATTTTCTCTGGCATAATCCTGAAATTAATTATAGCAGTATGATGACATACCATCACGAAATATAATGCACATATTTTTTCCTTATGTATGCTGCGAAATAAATATAAAATAGCTCAATTTATTAAAATAGATTTCTTTCTTTCGTTTAGCTGCAGAATGTCTGCAAAAAAAGCCTTATTTTATTCCAGATTGGGAAGATTCTAATCTCAATCTTCAGTGGAGAAAACAACAACTATTATAATTATATTTGTGTTAAGGTGCCTTTTAAGAACATACCTCACGCAAATTAAATTTACCTAAAATCTAACCTAACTATTTAGCATTGCGTTGTGATTTATAAAGACCGGATTAGCCTCGTGTTGAACTGGTGATGATCATGAGTAATAATTAAATAAAACATACATTTGTTATCCAATATATATATCTTAACTTTTTTTAAGTTTCTTAAGTGGAAAACTAAACAAAATTATTAAACAAAGTATACCAAGAATAATTAAGAATAAATGTCCTCTGGGAGTTATTGAATAATTAAGTCAATTTGCTACACAATACAAGTAATACCATAATTAATTTACCTCTTAGCACAGCCAACGTACATTACGTGGATAGACTGGAATTTTCTTGAAACACACCTGGAAAACCTGGAAAAGTCAGGGAATTTCATTCTCCTGTTTGAGTGGCAACCCTGTTATTCCATTTGCATGCCATCCTTAAACTTAAATTGAGGCTTTAAGTGACTTTTAGTGATGACATTAAAGGAAATTAAGGTTTTTTTTTAATAAGGTGAGCTATCAAGAGTATTTTTGAAAAGTTGTAAGCACATTGCAGTAATTAATTGATGCACAAGGAATGTAGTTTGAATAGTATGCTATAAATAATTTCCTTATGTACTGATAATGATAATGATTCATGGAATCCTTCTTAATGATTCTTGCAAGATATTGTTCTCTTCCTGTATTATTTACAAAATTCAGTGTGTATTGCAAATTAAATTTTTAAATTAATATTCTTTTCTTTGTAATAACTATTAGCTGCAATTATCTCTGCTGGCTCTTAAATAAATTATGATCTCAATGTATGATCGTATCATTTTAATTTGTATTTATGTAAAATGATATGCTTATGAAATGAAAAAATAAATATTTTTAAAAAATTTACCAAATTGGAAAAGGGATTATAACAGTTTTTATTCTGCCACTGATACTACCATCACTAAGATTTGTTTAATGTTATCTTTTTTCTTTCTTTTTTTTTTTTTTTTTTTCCTCCCCAGTATCTTAGCACAGTTATCCCTTACGATCCAGCACAAGGCTCACCTGATAATCCTACTCTACAAATTTTGATCAAAAGTAAGAATTACATTGTCTGCTTTTAACATGTATTTACTGTAATTAAAAAAAAATCATGTACTTTTTAAAAAATATTTGATGTTTATTTTTTAATAATTAGAAGAACATTATAATGAACAAGTCTATGATTTATCTATTTATTTTAATCTGGTGTGTGTGTGGGGGGGGGTTCCCTGAAGCTTTATTTTGAAGCTTTAAAGCTATAATAATTTTTTATGCCTTGAAAGAGGTGTATTATTTTCAATTAACACATAAAATTTGTTCTAATGAAGCCAATCAATGAGAAGAATAAAAAATGGCCATGGGCAAATATTGTCACTGTGTAAAACATAAGACATGAAATATACTGTACGAGATTCTCAGAATGTAGCCATTAGGCAAAGTATCATGGCATGCCTTCATTTTTCTTTCATATGTGAGCAATCAGTTATTGATTAGATTTAAAAGAGTTATCTTGTTACTGGGGAGGGGGAATTACCTGTAATTTAACATAGTCATAGTGTGTTACCATTCTACAAAAAATGATGATTTAAACTTTTATTTTACTTTTTTAATAATGTATTTAATGAATATAGATTATTACTTGTAATTTATAACATAACCATTTGATTAATTTTCATAAACATTTACAGAGAGAATTCTGAAACATAATTTTAACTTCTCACAAATTTCAAAACCTTCGATTCCAAAGATTGTAGCTCCTATTGAAAAAGCTTTCAAATTCAGTAATGTTTCAGATACACGGAAAGAAATTATTAGGCATATTATTTCCCATAATGGGAAATATAACAGTAAGCATTCAAAACCAAATCTAAATGCAAAGAGAAAAAGCTACAATACGTGAAATTCATTCTAACCCGGGCACTTATCATTTCAGAGGCCAAGAAAGGTGACCAAATATTCCATGGACGAGAACACGTACATCGATGATGTCACTAAACTCTTGAATGAAGGACCATATAATTCAATCCTTAAAAACCCTTCACCATTGAACCTCTCAAAAATAAAAAGTGCAATTGAATCCTCACAAATCCTTCCGACCCACTTAAAACAACTGCTTATCCATCTGTCGTGAATTGTGCCAGATTAAATGCTGTTCCCAAAATTCTTATAAGTGGCATTCCTTTCCACCCTTTTGTATCAAATTTAGGCACTGCCTCATATCTGTAACCTAAATATTCAGTTTCTAGATTTTCAGTTTTATTAGATATAACAATTACACCATACAAAATTCAATAGAATTTATATAAAAAGTTAAAAGCATTTCTCTTAGGAATTTACTCATGGTTTCTTTTGATGTAAAATCATTATCCACCAATGTTCCAGTGGAAAGTGCATTAAGATGTCTAGAAACCAGACTTTGTGAATTTCATTTCTCCTGCATTAAAATTGATGAGCTTATTTCCTGTGCTCAACTCTGTTTGAAACAAACACATTTTGTTTTCCAAAAAAAGTATTGCAGTACGAAGTCTGAAATCCGGACTTGTCAGGACTTCTGCGATTCCGGATTTGGGATTTTTCCAGATATTAGATCATCAGTTTAAATCTAGTAAGATGGCATGTAGAAATTATTAAATTAAAAGTATGAAAGTGTGTTTTATGAAATAATGAAGCATTTATGACCAAAATCATAAATGCTTCAAAATTAAAAAAAAAGGGGTGTCAAAATTTACAACAGCAGCAAAAAAAAAAAAAGGGTACTTATGTATTATCGCAACCAGGTTGGCGCGATTTTTAAGTTTGAGTAAAAAAGTATGAATAGAAAGAAAATGTACATTTATTAATTACAGATAATTTTTAATACAGTTTTTTATATTATTTTGTTTTAAAATATAAAATAGCAATTAAACCCTTCTGGTTTCGAATTTGAATAAGTTGCAGAATTATTTTTTCGGCGGAAATCTTTTGGCTATTGCTTTTAGCACTGATTGAAAACCGTCTTCGCCATTAACAGCTTGAGCTTGGCGCCATATAAATTCGATAAGGTATGAGTCAAGATGATGACGGGCTGTTCCTCTCTGTTTTTTGTTGTGCCATTTGGCTGAGCCCCACATGCGCTCTACATGTTGTGTGTGAACGCCCGTGTTGGGATCCACAAAGTTATATTTGTGATTAACAGTTCCATGCAGAAATCCAGCATTTTCGAACTCACTTGTATTGTATCCTTTCCAGCAATCCGAATAAATGATGCTTCCTTCCTTGATATTTTCGCAAATTTTTTCCATGAGGGTAACGGCGCTTCTGTTAGGTACAGTAACCAAAAAAGTCTCTTTCTTTTCTCGGCAAATTCCGCCGAAAATCCATTGCTGTGGTAGTACACGCCCAGTGTTATTTTTTCTTTTTACAAATAAACTTTCGTCTATTTCCACACACACGTAGGGTTGCTGTAAGTAGGGTCGCCAATTTGGCGATTTATGCGAATTTTGGCCTGGTTGCGTTAATACGTAAGTACCAAAAAAAGCTTAATATTTATTTGTTTACTTTATTAAGCATTTCTTTCAATGTAAGTTTTTTAAGTTGCTTTGTTTTTTGTACTAATACTTTCCCTTTAATTCTGAAGACAGACATAATTTTTTGTTTAGTTATGTTGCTGAAGTCCTGTAATTGCTGTGTCGAGAATTCCGACTAACTTTTCAATAGAAATTTTTTCATTTTCAGTAAATTCTCTGTCACTTTCTTCACTGTTGGTAGTGATATTTTCTGGATCTAGAACCATACTACAGATTTTGCCATCCATTAATTCATAGGTGATTGAGGAGCATTGTCATCACTATGAAAAACTTCTTTTGTACAGTACAGTCCGAATCTCGGACTCGTCGGGACTTCGGCAATTTCAGATTTGGGATTTTTCCGTATATTAGATCATCAGTTTAAAACTTGTAAGATGGCATTTAGAAATAATAAAATTAAAAATATGAAATAATGAAGCATTTGTGATATAAAAGATAACAAAATTTACAAAAAAGCTTAATATTTATTTACTTTATTAAACATTTCTTTCAGTGTAGTTAAGTTGCTTTTTTTGTGCTAATATTTTCTCTAATTCTGCAAACAGACATAATTTCCTATTCAGTTTATGTATTGCAAAATACCTTGGCAATCTCTATAGGAAAAGCTCCAACTTGTGTCGAAGATTTCAAAGTGAGACTAACAATTTTAGCATGCGCAAATGCTGCAAGAACACACAAGTATAAACTTTTCGTAATCGGAAAAAATACACGACTTCAAGCATTTAAGGGAGTAAAGAGTTTCCCGTCATATATCGTGTGCAAAAGAACATGGATGACACAAGTGTTAATGAATGGTTAGTTTGAAAACCATTTCATATCCGAGGCTCAGCAGAATTCAGTTAGTTTACCAAGGCCTATGTAGGTCTCGGTTGTTTTACCTGATGATGAAAAAATTATCCTGATTGTAGATTACTTTTCAACGCGTACTTCACTTAAAATTTTAGTGAAAGATAATGTATCCATATTATTTTAGCTTCAAAAGCGGTAATAAATGAAGATGATATAAGAAAAGTTTTTCAGTGTGATAACATTGCCCCAAATATCAATAAATTAATGGGCAGCGAAATCTGAAGTATGGTTTTAGATCCAGAAAATCCCACTACGAAAGAAAGGACAAAGAAGTTATCGAAAATGAAAAATTTTGATTGATGAGTTAGTCAAAATTCTCGACACAGCAATAACAGGAATTGAACAATGAAGCCAACCTATTGAATATGTGCACTCCATTTTTAAGTTCATTTCTTAATGAAATATTTTAGCTTGAGCCATTAGCATTTGATCTGTTAATGGCATGTCCTTGCTGTGATGCTGTCTGACCCATTCATTCATCACTTTGTCATGATCTTCACCTTTAGCATAACAAACAATGTTATTCATTGCAAGTCGGGTGTTGAAATCCACAAAAAATTCAAAAAGGTGTTTTTTTTTTTTTTTTTCCCCCTGTTTTCTTATGTTATATATAATGGACTTTCAAATGCCATAATCTTGCATAATTTTGAGACAGATATACCTTTATCCAGCAGCAATTCCACTTTTTGTTCAATGGACATTGAAATATTTCTCTTTTTGACATATTCAAAAGTTGAAACTTTAATTTACATAAAATTGCTGTAATAAAAACAGCCTGCAAAAGATAATTAAGCTGGATCAAATCAGAAAGTTAAGGAATAGAGCAATATGCTATATATTAAATGAAATTACTTGGAATCAGTGAAGTATAGTTTTAGCCTAGCTTAATAGCATCCACTATACATTATTAGCTTAATAGCATCCACTATACATTATTAGCTTAATAGCATCCGCTATACATGAGACTGGCGATAAAAGACAAGTTTATTCTGCTAAATTTTGTCTTGCTTCCATCATGCACTGAGACAATTAAGAGTGTATTAGTTGTTTGTTACACAGTGAAAAGTCGTTAATCCAGACTCGTCGGGACTTCGGCAATTCCGGATTATCGATTTTTCCGGATTATAGATCATCAGTTTAAATCTGGTAAGATGGCATGCAAAAATAAAAAATATGAAACTTTAATTTATGAAAAAAGAACAATTATGATCTAAAGGGTATCAAAATTTACAAAAAAAAAAAAAAAAAAAAAAGCTTAATATTTACTTGTTTACTTTATTAAACATTTCTTTCAATGTAAGTTGTTTAAGTTGTTTTGTTTCATGTGATAATACTTTCTCTTTAATTCTATTAAACAGAGGTAATTTCTTGTTTAGTTACAAAGTTCCGCTGTTCAAGTCCTATAATTGCTGTATCGAGAATACCAACTAATTTGTCAATCGAAATTTTTTCGTTTTCAATAACTTCTGTATCGCTTTCTTCTTTATCGGAAGCGAATTATAATGACGAGGAATCTGATTTAAATCATATCAAAGATGGAGTACATCGAGATGAAATACTACATTTAGTAAGGAATTATAAGCGAAATAAAAAAAAAATTCTGCCCTGAAGATAAGGATAGTGCTGACAGATTAACTTCCA